TTATCAAAACCAACAGTTTTAAGTATTTTTAAAGCTAGTTTCTGTCTCAAAATGTAGAATAATACCAATGTGTAGTAAATGTTTTGTAAAGGTAAATTTTTCCATTTCTGTTTTATTACCATGCATTTTTTTAAGGACACTACAACACATTGCTCTTCGATTTCATTTGATTAAAAGCAATTTTCTAAACACTGCTGGAGAATCAATATTATTGAATTATTCCATCATATACTTTAGACTTTTTCAACATTTGCCACACATATTTTGCAATTGTGTATGATGAAAACGCTTTCTATTTGCAAAGCTGCATTATATCTTCATACTGATTGATTACAAAAAGCAAGTAGGTTAAAGACAAACAGCACAAGAAGTTAGAGAAGATTATAATACTTTAGTGGACTGGTTAATGCAATACATCGAATACCATCATGCTTTAATTAATTAAGCAGTGCTCAAAAACTTTCAATTTAAAGCAATGCTTCCAATGGACCATGAAAATACAATATACTACCAGGCGAATTATTTCAAGTTGCTGTTAAGCATGTAGTTTTAAGATCGTTTTTATTGCAAATTTGTTTATATTCCTTTGTTATTTATTTGTTTTATTATGACTTTTCTTTGTTGAGACAATAAAATTTGCATGTTTTTTCAAACAGATATATCAAATTCTCATTTCATGATGAAGATAAACTGTTGTATAAAAACAAATAATTTGCGTATTTTGATACACCTTTTTACAAAATTCACAAAATATATACAAGTTCACATTATACAAAGTTTTGAAATTGTGTAAAGTTACTACCTTATGTTTTCTTATATCCCATTATTTGTAGACTTATTTTACCATTATGAAAACTTAAATTTCCATGAACATTATCACAATTAAGATTTAAATGTTTGTCAAAAATGAATAAGACAATAATTCTTGTGCTAAGCAAACTTAAAATATGTGCTAAGAAATCTTAAAATATGTGCTAAGCAATCTTAAAATACAACTACAAAACTTCAAAGCTTCTACACATCAGCAGACTGTTAGTATATAACATTGGTATGATGCTAGAAAATAAGATTAAATTCTAAAAATCTGGACAAAGTGTGATCGATCGGAAGCATTAGTAACACCAAAACTACATAAATATTGCAGACTCGGTTTGATTGAGTCTGTACATGATGAATGATGAAAATGTGGAACATCAATCACGCCCCGGTTTGAGCGGTACTCAATTTCAATTGCGTACATAAGCAATGAAATCAATGATTTCGAAGGACCAGAAAAAAACAACAACACTGAAGTGAAGTACGGGCTGCCACACAGCACTTGACACCTGCTTGTTGTGAATTTCTCTATGTGTGTGTGGGGGGGGGGGGGGGGGGGGGGGGGGGGGAGGGAGGAGGGTTGTTCTTTTGTTCTAACAAAGAGGGCACTTTTTACCTTTTTACCAAAGTACACCATTTTAGCCTGAGAATTAGGATATAAGTACAAAACAATATATATTTAAAATTTTGTTAAAACAAAATAGTACAGCTCACAACAAAACCGACAGTATAGTTTCATATTCCTTTTGGCGCCTAGAATACATTTTTATAAAAGGTTTTATGTCATACTTCACTTAAATTACAATTAAATTCTATTGAATATGTCAGGAGTTTTATTCCAAGTAATCGTTTTTTCACGAGAAATTACAGGAAATTACGTTTCGATTTTATTCAATAATATTGCACTTTTGTGAAAAAATCTTTTGATAAATTCTGCTTGAGAATTGATTTTGTTGACTGCAAGAATGTGGATTAATCTTACATCTGAAAGTGTTTTAACCATCATCCCACACACGGGACAAACCCAATTGTTGTTCTTAATTATATTATACATGCACATTGAACACTTTCCCTCACGTTGATTTATTTGTTGACTGATCGATAATTTGGCTGGTTAGTTAGTGAGTCGATTGTTTGACTGGTTGGTTGATTGACTGATTGACCGGACGAATAATTGAAAATATCAGAGACCAGTATAATTAATTGATTATCAGTTGTAAAAGCCATGTGACATTTCTTGCAAATAAAAAGAACAGTGCAATACATTTTCTTATTCTCAGTTTTGCCAAAGACCATTATTTAGCTCAGGTTAGACCTTTGAATGACCATTAGTTAAGAGCAATTAAAACAAAGCAATAACAGAAAATTGTTTATACTGCTTGTTGCGGGTATATCTTTATATAAACTTAACATGACCAGTAAAAAATTTTACTTTCAATATTAGACACATTGGCGAGGAAAATATAGCAAACAAACGTTAATACAAAGTCAAATAACCTGACAGAATATCTTTACAACGGCTTTTTTAAGGCTGTACATCTTTTTTTTATTACAATTAGTTATAATAAATATAATTGTTACGGCCGTCTATGTAGATAATATAGTCGTTAAAATTGTCAAAAAGAGTTTGACGACAAAAACGTGCACTTTGTTAATCATAACGTATTTATAAAGTATTTTCATATTGGCGACTTTGTTATTTGATTTTTGGATTATCTGTTTGTCCTGCTTCTAAACTAATATCAAATGCTTCATTCCGTATATGCTCCTTTAATTCAATTTTCATATTGGTCCAGCCAGTCTCTATTGGCCCCGTGTAACATCATACGTATATTGGCACTAAAAACCAAATATATTATCCAATATTTCATAATTATGATATAAGCTATAACCAGGAGCCCTAGCATACAAGTTCGTTTAATTACAATACAATTTCAATGTAATGATTTTGTATTGCTTTAAATTCCATTATATTCAAACATAGGCAATAAAGTACACTGGATCAATTCTATTTCTGATGGTAAATGGTATGCTTGCCGAAAGTAATTTATTTTCTCTTTATATCCTAGAAATGAACTTTCTGTGTAGACATAACATGTCAACTTTCATTTTATGGCAAATTTACCTAATATTCAGATGGGTACGCTGTTATGCAAGGTACATAAATCTTAGCTTTATTTTTTTCTATATTTCCTATAAGGGAAATAATGTTTTAGAACCCAAGGTGTCTTTATCACAGAGTTGCAGATGAGAATAACTATCTGATCAATTCTGTCTGAAAACACATGTTGTTTAACACAGACAATTTTAGTAAATGAAAAGATGCAGATTGTTTTACGCTAGATCAATGGTCAATGTCAATTTTGGTTGGGCCTTTACCTGTGGAAATGAGGTTTTTCTGTCTTTATCTTTATTTACTTGAGAAAAGAGTTAGTTACTGATCATTTTTGCAAGTAAAGTATGTAGTGAAATGTGTATGAGACAGTAAATGTTCTTTTTACACATCGCAATGAATATTGTTAATAAAAAAGTATTCTGGGCACAATATGTTCACACAAAGGAGGTCAAGCGAGCCGTGTAACGCTCCCCTTGCAAATCCAAGACAGAGCCATGATTGGGTAATGTTCTATGATGTAAGGATGTTTCGGTTCTATAATATAAAGTAAAAATGCCACATGTTAAAATGTTTTAAAAATCTGGCCGAGAAAATTTGTCGGAAGCGATGAAAACAACAAAATTTCATGAAAATTGCAGTTATTTTGGTTAATTTAAACAACATTTTTTTATACTCTTTTCATTTATATATTAAATTACTTAAAACAATTTTACAGATTGAGAAGGAAGCTTAAAAAATTATTTTTTTCAAAAACTCTCTCCATCACTTCGATTAATTCTTTTCATGAGAGAAAAGCCGATATCTCTTAGGCACCCTGGCACCGGCTTGAGCGGTATTCAAACTCCAATACTAAATCTACAATGAAAATGTAACAACACTAAGATTTCGGATTAAAATCAGTTATGCATTTTTTATCGGTTTCGTAACTTCTTAAGTTATAATTTTCCCGGAATACAATATCGACCATGTATTTCATTTTAATTTAAAAAAAAGAAAGAAAATATTTTATATTATAATGATAAAACTGATACAAAGGTAAAAAAGTAATACCGAATTTATTAAGGTAAATGTATCCTTTAATTTTATTAGTGGTTACTACAGCACATTTTTCTTCGATTCTATTTGATAAAAAGCAATATTCTATCTTGAGTATCGATATTATTGAATTATTCCGCCATATACGGTTACCTAAGATTTTTCTTAACATTTAGCACACATATTTATACCAATGTGGTAAAACCTTGTTTAAGTCTCAAAATGTATACTGTAGGGCATTTATTTATGCTCTTTGTCATAATCTTGAAAGATCTTTGTAAGGAAGTGGCCTGATAAATTATTTGTATGAAAGTCATTGGCTGCCAAGAAAAGAAAATGGATACTATGAAAGTTGGTTACTAACGATTGTCGATGGCACTGTTTCATCTTGAATGTCTATGGGTTCTATTGAAATTTATTGTTGCTAAAGAAAGTTAGTGGTTGCAGTTGAAATCACTGCATACTATGGAAAGCCAATGGTTGCAGTGTAAAACACTTGTTGCTAAATAAAATCAGTGGATGATAACTGATTTGCAAAAGAAATTCGATGGTTGCTATGGAGAGATATTTTTGGTCTAACTGCATGTACAAAGATGTTAAATACCGCACAGAACCTGTCATAAAATCAGTTCGCCATTTCGTAAAACATCACCGCTCGCCTCCAAGTAGTTTCGGCGGGATTGTCCCGCCGGCAGGTAACATGGACGGAACGATTTTTCACAATTAATATATGTCTAATATCTAACCTTTACCCTTACTAGTTTAAGATTATTATTTTAATAATTAATTAAAACACGTGTTCACAGGGAAAATCTGACTATGTACAGGTTTATCACCCGCAATATAATCATTTTCTTATTCTTCTCGGTACTCAGTATATAGCTACAAACTGGTACATGTATTTTTTGTTTTTTAGAAATTGATGTCTCATTTTAATCCTCAGATTCTTTTTTGTCTGCAAATACTCGATCAATAATTTGGCTATTTATAAACGTTAAAACACAACGCTATTTTCGGAAAACTATCCGATAAAATGCTTCAACTTAAAATATACTGATTTACTTGATTGTTGAAAAGCCTATTGACTTTTTCTGAAAATATTGAAACGGGTTTGGGCACAACGAATGTATTCACTGAGACATTTAATCAGAGAAATGTTTTATATATTTTCTATAATTGCGTATGTGTTGGCCTACAAAAGTCCATGTTTTAAATAATCAAAAGTACTTCTTGATTTGGATTTTTATAATTAAACGCATCAGGTAAGAATATAATATCATTTTTATAACTTGCAAATTATTTTGGTTATACTTTCACATTTCCTTTAGATACTGGTAAGGTCATTTAATTTGCCTTGACAAGTTGGCTTGTCTTCCTCTGTTAAAGTTATATAAAGTGACGTCTCTCTGGTCAAAAATGCTCCTCCGAAGTGGTTACTTTGTTTTGGGGGACTTTTAAGAAAACAGTTGAAGTCTTCTAATATGAAATTATATTTCCAAGAGCATGTGACATTGTTTAGTGTTCTCTACATATGTGCCATAAATCATGTCTCGGAGGTCAAAGAAAGTCAAGCCTGATCACTTAGTTTACATAGACTTATATACTAAGTATGAAATTAAAATACCCAGAAGTTTGATGTTTGGCAAACAGTTTTTTCTGGCAAGAATCTACAAATGATTTAAAATTATGCACCTTAGATCAAACATATTTACTGATTGTCTGCAAACTTTCCCGCAATGTAACTCATGTTGGCGATTTGGAGTCATCATGGCACGTTTGTTTATTGTTTTAATTGTATAATTACTGTGTTTAAAAATTATCTACAGAATAAATAGGTCAAGCATCATGATTAAGTCATGCTGCTGTTGTCTGAAACACTTTAGACCCCTGATTATACGATAATTAATAAATTAAACGAGACTTACCTGGAAGTTGAAGTTCAATTATTATTCTACTGCTACTGGACCACAGGGTTTAATGAGATGAACGTATGATCTTATCAGATGACCAAGCATACTTTCAGAGCATACATAATTATGCAAAATGCGACAATGGCTTAAAAATATGGGAGGGGTTACCGGGTGGGCATTAAACCCTGTGGTCCAGTAGCAGTAGAATAATAATTGAAGTTTGACATTAAATGGTATACACATATACGTGTAGCATAAAATTCTTCCACATGTAGTGATATTCGAAGTTTTCAATGGTGTAAAAGCAACACATTTATGCTTTAAATTATAATTTCTTTAGGCATGATTCTGATATCTTGCAAAATCAGTGTTTTGAAATTACTGATCTGCCCATTAAGCCTAAACCTGCCATTATTCGTTTATATTATTTACATTCCCTTTTTTTTACATTCTGCACTATATTTACTTCAGATTAAAGTTAGATTGTATTAAAGTAAATCACATGTTTTTAATGCATTACGACAACAGTATAAAATGCATTTTCCCCCTTTTTTAAGGGAAATTGTGATTATTTCTGAGGCTTAATCTGTTTCTTTAAAAGAAAAAGGTATCACAGGTTTCCATCACAAATATCTAATAAGTATAGGTTAGAGTGCATATTGGGTGTTCTTCGTAAATAAGAAAGCTAAAAAGGAGCGGAGCTTGCGAAGCGACTGTAGCTTTCTTATTTACGAAGAACATCCAATATGCACTCTAACCGGCTTAGTGCTCCGCCCATTTTTTTCCGCCCAACACACTGCGTGACGTCACACGATAGCCTAAATGTGTATAACCATATTTGGAAGAGGTAGCGGTACACATTTTCGGGTCACGTGTTTTGCATAGCTTATTCCCGCATTCTGTCTAGGTAAATCAGACAATATCACGGTGCATATCCATATCGGTACCCTCTTTGCGAAATATTCTCAAACGGTACCATCTTTGAACATACACAGGTCATTCTCTGCTAAAAACAAATCAGCGATGGATAACAATGCAGTAAAAATTCATTGTAATAAGAAAAGGAGGTATGACCACGGAACACTAGAATGTTTTATTTATGTGCTGATTTGTTATGTGCCCGATTTTCAAGTACTGCAACTTCACAATAGGCTACAAAAAGTCGACATGTCTTGCCTCGCCCGTCACCTCGACATATTTTTCGGGCTGAAATGAACCTGTAGCTTGATTATATATGCAGCATACATATTTATTATGTTCATATACATATCATCTTCGGACAAATGGCAGTATATTGTCAAAAATAAATGTAAAATTAATAAAAACACCCTACTTTCGGTTTTGCAGCGGCACGGGCTGTAATATTTACATAAAAAGTAAGAAATATTACATACATACTTTGTTGGAATAAGTGAACTTTTTATTTGGAAATTATAAAATGATACTGGTTCCGTAAGTAATAAAACATTTTTACTGTTATTTTGCCTGTTTTCATTTCAATGAACCTCTTTTTTTAAATTCTATGCCGTAGTGACGATATACATGTGCGTGTACGGAAAAATATGATGCATAAATATTGATTAGTAGGAGTAAACTTCAAGATCTCTGCACATGCGTATATTTCACTTAGCGCTCTTCGAAACTTAGCTCCGCCCACTTGCGTTTTATAATATAAAACGTCCAGTTTATATAAAATCTGTTCTATTAAGATTTGAAACCTGAAAATTTGAAAAATCCTCGTTGATGATTGGCTTAAAAAAATTGGCGAGCACTAATCAAGAATAGAATACTAGAAAACCACATTTGATTTGTGTGTTTTTTGTTTGTTTGTTTTTTTTTTTGTTTTTTTTTTTTAAACAAAACAAAGCCTTTCAAACATCTCTCTCGCAATTATATAATGCGAAAGACGTATATATGTGAAGAACTCACATTACATGTTTTCTTAAATAAACACATGTATATTATTTTCAAAATCAGCTCTGTATTGCAGTTACAGTACATGTTTCTATGGTTCACGTTTTCGATTCCACTCGATACAGGATAGAATATAATGAAACAAACAAATGAATTTGTTCATATTTCCTGAATTATTAATATTATTATTTTTGTTCGGAATCAATCAATCAATTAATTGGTTAACTAAGTCATCAAATGATTTATTTATTTATTTAAAAATGAAAACTACCAAAACAAATGACTGCATCTCTTATCACCACCTACTTATTCAGTTGTTTGAAAACAAAACCCAAAACAAGTAATTCTATGACCATGCCATTTGGTAGAATTAACTGCTTAGTGTTTTCCTTTCCCCGAGCAATGACGAGTACTGTACCACATCTACATATACTGACATATTATTAACATAAATCTGCCATTTCTTTTTCAAATCTAATAACATTTTTAGTTGACTTATTAACATGCTAACTACAAATATAAATGCGCTCATCAACCGTAGAAATATTTCATAGACTAAATAGCAGTTTTCATGATATAATTAATATTTTCATTGAAACTTGTTGTTTCATTCAGTACCTCTTTTCTTTCTTTTTTTTTTTTTTTATATCAAAATTTCAATGACACTTTGACAGCCCTAGCAAATCAAGATTTTGTTGATAGGTCCGACACAAATCCCTCTCTGAGTGATTTATAGTGCCATGGATTATAACACAGTGAAGGTTAATTAGCAACCCCTCCTTGCAAACAAACAAATCAAATTAAGACATATGTTTGACCTACAAACCAGGCACGGTTATTAGTACCTGCAGTTTTCCCAGGGATAAGCCTGATGATAAACCCTAACATAAACAATTCACTGAGAGGGTCCAGTGAGAGATTTATCTGAAGATGTAGTACATGTATACAGTAAAACCTTATCTAAACCATCTAAAATACTGCACATTACAGCTTTGTATGTATAAACTATCACTATTGTAATGAATGGTAAAACATTGGTTTCGTAGGTTTGTCCAAAAGTGAAAGACAAGTGCTATTGATTACTAAGATTTTTTTTCCATCTTATTAGTTTATTTTATTATATTCAGTAATTCATTTATCTACTTTCTATGTTTTACTGTAGTTAGCTTGAGCAAAAATATCAATGCATGCGAACTACATCAAACATGTATTTAACTATGCATTAAGCTATGTCTATATACACCTTTCAGTGGAAGAAAATTCTGGATAGAAAAATATTTGAGTGATTAAATATTTATTTTCTTCACTAAAAACCTTTCATATCTTATTTCATGTTCTTCCATTTCGAATGACATGTCATTTTCTTAAAAAGGAAAGCAAGTTCTTTACATTCGACATTGTCAGTGAGATATACAGGTAAAGAATTATTCAATATAAATTTCATTATTGAACTGTCTCAAGCAGGTACAAATATTGAAAGTTATCAACTTACAATGTTCAAGGTATTCCGAAGTGTTTCTAGAGTATTAATTGTAAAAACAGTGCATACTCACATTCTGTTTTCTTTCTTGCATATGTACTCAGCCCCTGCTATTCTTACCTCACACTATATACAACCAATGTTATTCAATATGTGTTCACTTTCCGCAAAGAAAGTAACAAATCCTTCATAAGATCAGCTCCAAACGGTGCGTTTTCCCAAGAGCAAATTTGGAGTCACAGTTTTTTACATTTCTATGCAAAAACTTTCTTCAGCATATTTGATCTTCCTATATAACAAATTTTGAGTATTCAGGTTTTGACAATCTATGCAAAATTTGCTTCTACATATTCCTTCTTGTATGACAAATTTGGAGTACTCGCGGGTTTTGACATTTTTATGCAAAACTTGCTCCAACATATTCCATCTTATATAACAAATTTGGAGAACTCAGGTTTGGATATTTATTGCAAAAATTGCTCTAGCATATTCACTTTTATATAGATAACTAATTTGTAGTGCACGGTTTTGACATTTTATGCAAAACTAGCTCCAGCATATTCCCTCTTATATAACAAATGTGGAGTACAAAGTTCTTGACATTTCTATGCAAAACTAGCTCCAGCATCTTCCCTCTTATATAACAAATGTGGAGTACAAAGTTCTTGACATTTCTATGCAAAACTAGCTCCAGCATATTCCCTCTTATATAACAAATTTGGAATACATAGTTCTTGACATTTCCATGCAAAACTAGCTCCAGCATATTCCCTCTTATATAACAAATTTGGAGTACACAGTTCTTGACATTTCTATGCAAAACTAGCTCCAGCATATTCAATCTTATATAATAAATTTGGAGTACACAGTTCTTGACATTCTTATGCAAAACTAGCTCTAAAATACTTACTCCAGAATATTCCTCTTATATAAAACCATTTTTGTGTGCAAATAAAATCTCTACAATACGCCCAAAACAGCAAAACTGAAAATGCTGCAGGCTTGGTTTGAATGAGCCTGTTCAATGATGATACTGTAAAATGCAAGTAAATGTTCATCCGCCCAAAGCATGTTAAAGATATACTATACTCATCTGAGAGTAAAATATTTTTATTGAAATCTATGTATTTCTTTCTCAATATGTCTAATTTTAATAAAAGAATGTACAAACTGTGTGTGGGAAGCTGCATATCCTATTACAGGATAAGTAAAGTTGACCCTTTCTTATTGAAAAAAAAACTGTTTTTTGTTTTTTGTTGACACTATACATTCTTATTTGCCTATGAATTGTGTATAGTTTTAGACATAAGATATCTTAACAAATGTATATTTTATATTTAAAAAAAGAGACTGTGTAGCAATTATCAATATTTAAAAATACAAAATTTGAGCATATTATATCTTTAAATCAAATAATTGTTATTATAACTTATCATACAGTTACCCAACTAAACACAATTGGTATCATAGAATTATATTTTGTTAGCAAGAGCTGATATTTTCTTATATCAAGTAAGATTTAAAACAGTGAGATACTGCAGATCTTTTTCGCCAATAGAATAAGAGTCTTATTAATTATACGCTGTGACATGTGCATTTCGTTGGCCTAAGAAACATGAATTTGGTATGTTCGCGGCTCAAGAAATTAAATTGTTAAACAGTATATTATTAATTCTATGTCTTGTTAACTTCAAGTTAAAGCAATATTGTCTTTGTTGCTGTAGTAGTAGTTGTAGCATAAAACTTGGGAGGTCAATCATCTGTGTTGCAGATGGCCAAGGCTTCATACTGTTGTCCATCATTCCATGATGACGAAACAGATTTTCCTAATCTGTTGCAGAGTTAATATTGGACCTACTGTCCGCAAACTCTAGACTTTCCAATTTCTGTTGCAGAGTTATATTGGACCTACTGTCCGCAAACTCTGGGGTCGTCGCAGTACGCCTCAGTACCTACTGTACTGGTTATAGCGACTGTTGGGCTTCTTGAAAAGTGAAATTCCCTACTGGAACTGAACACTTTGCCCATTCTTGTAGCAATCCATGTGGAAAATATAAATGGATAATCAAATCAAAAGCAGAAGACAATTGTTATATCCAAAACATTGTCACTTTAAATCAAACTACAAACAAATCCGGTATTTAATCCATTTTACAAAGTTATTACGTAATTGTATTACTCCATTTAACAAGAATAATTGAATAAATCCTAATTCTAATAATAACACATAAACTCATAAATTAAGAGAAATTAACTGCGGCCACTCTGATAGGATACTTTTAGCGTTCTGCTTGGTCATCTGATAAGATCATATGTTCATCTCATTAACCCTAGGTGGTCCAGTGCAGTAGAATTATTAGTTTTGATAGCTCTACTATAGTTTCATTTATGACAGCAAATCTAACGATGTCTAGAAGAGATTTTCTGCCTGGTTCGCAAACAAAAAGGTCAGAAGAGTTGAATTGCAAGGAAACGGATGAAGACCGGGGTTGTCATATACCAAGACCTACACGGGGCAACTGTAAATATCGGTTTCTTTTTTCTTTTCTTTTTGTTTCTTAAATATTTTACGCTTCACAGCTTTACTAATTGTCCGACGTTTCCTACGTTTTTTTATTCATTGTAACCGGTATATTTTTTCTTCTTAAAACAAGGAGAAAAAAGACTTAAATTTAATACTGATTTTTTTTTAAAAATTACCAAATTTTTTACTTATATTCAGTACGATTTTCAAAAGTGTAAAATGCTTCACTTGAGATCTCGTACTTGTGCAGATAACACATTTAAAATAAATAGTATCGTATAATAATGTTAAGTTTGTAGAAAAATAAACGTCTATAGTATTGACAAAATCTTCATTGAAATCATATTTCAGTATGTATTATTGACGACAGGGTTGACATATCTAAGAAATATAAACAACAAACAACTTCACCACAAGGACAAAGAGATCCTGTTAGACCTATTCGTGCGTTTGATGATAAACTGATGGAACCTGCCATTTACCATCCTCCGTTTATGAACATCGACCCTCGATGTGTCAACAGAATCCCGCGTGCCCAAAGGTACAATAAAGGCGATACCCAACCAACCAGAAGGGGTAGACATTCATCTGCTCAAATACCTTCTAGTAACCATGCTTTGAACCGAGACAGATTTCGTTCGGCTGAACGAGACGCAAACTGTAACCGAGGGCACAGACAAAACGTACGTGATCAAGGCAATGCTTTTCAAAAAAGAGATATCAGTGATATTGGAGAAAATAAAACACCAACAGCCGAGGTTGTTTTCTCTTTTATGGTAAAGAACATGGAAGGAAAAGGTACCATGGAAGACATACGAAATAAGTCTAGATTGTTTCCACCTGAAGTTGATATAAGCGATTGGTTCCGAAGGAACAAAAGCCGGTTCACACTTATTGAAAGGGGTGATCAAATAACATTTATTTTTGTATACGACAAACGTGTTACATTGTGTATTCATTACTCTAAAAAGGATTCATGCAAGAAGACAGATTGCAACAGATATCACATATGTAAAAATGTCTGTGCTGGAAAATGCATTTTTGGCCGACGATGCAACTTCTCACACGATTGCTTCGATGAGCATAATAGTAAAATTTCAAATGATTTAGGCTTCAGTGATACATTAACTAGTGATGAAATATGTATCATTTTAAGACTAAGTTTTCCACATGTTTGCTCTGCGTGGTCATTTAAAGGCACCTGTACGGACTCTAATTGCCCCGACTTACACATATGCCCAGGATACATTCTTGATAAATGCCAAGACGGACCAACTTGTTCTAATATTCATGACAGGAATACCGAACATAACAGAGCCATTCTTGAAGCGTTTGACATGACGGGCATGAGTTATCGTGTATTCAGATGGCTTGTTTTCATGTTACACAATCCAGCTTACATGCGAAATGAGCGGATGACTTCTAGTGAAGCTGCATCACAACGACAAAGTATCGACAGTTTGATACATGAGGAGACCGGTAAATACAATAATGTTATTATATCGTTGTCTTTAAAATGAGAAATATATTTTAACGAGTATCCAGCTGCATGTTCCACAGACAAACCTTCAACACTTACTTTAAGTAGGAGTTTAAATAATGTCATTAACTATGCTGAACACTGTTAAACAAAATTTTCACTGAAATGGCTATTTGTTAATAATCTTTCTTTTTATGTCATCATTATTGATTGAATAAAAAATGAAGAAGCAAACACTTGCAAGTACAAGTCTGAGAATTCTGTAAAAGCACAACGAGATTTTTGTTAAAATTATCATTGCATAGCATTATGATTATGCAGTTTGTTTCGAGTTTTGATTTTTAACATTTCATGGACACGAGCCAGGAAGGAATTTATGGCTGTTAGCCATTTGTAAGCAAAACATATCTTTTGGTTGATCTAACAAATTATGACAATATTTTACATATAACCTATCAATTTTTGTACATAGAAGAAGCCGAGGAAGCGTTTATATGCGTCGATTATATTTTCGGGCAATGCCGTGACCGCCGCTGCAAATGTATCCACAGTAAAAACAAACTGCCGTATATTTGGCAAATACATGTATTTGGTGCTTGGATTTCTCTGAACGAGTGTGAAAAAATTGAGGAAGCATATGCTGATCATGCGGAGAAATCTAACAATATTAAAATGGTATATTGTTATTTATTTAATATGTACTATTCTATCATGAATTGTTTTTAGCTGTTCATGTTTATATCCGATCTTTTACAGCTAAAACAGTGATGAACCATACAAAATAGTATCAGATGTATGTTTCACATAATTATAGTCACTATTTTGTACTCCTGAAACGCTAACCACTTCTTTATCAATGATACTTAAAATAAAGACAAATAAATACAATTTTCTTGTAATAATTTTGATTCAACAAAATTAAGTTATCAAACAAACATGTTCAAAATGCTTTGTAATCATAGGTATACTGAGTACAGAAGAATGTAGAACAAACTTGTGCATGACAAACCTACAAAATTAGGCAGTAGATATTTTGTATACAATTTTCATTTTTTCTGTCTGTATTTTAGCCTTATAATGGGTTGGACCTCTCTGTTCAGGTATATTTTATACCAGTTATCAAAGCGGACGTGATCATACATGGTTCCGGCGAAAGTCTGGTAGAGACAAAAGCCCGACGTCTGTCAACCATGTCTTACATTAACGCCGAGTCATCATCGCTTGGAAATGAAGAAGTGAACACTAACAAGTTCTACACACAATGGAGATGGTATTGGAGGGATGATTACAGACAGTGGAATCTATTTCAACCAGTAAGATTATCCTCATTATATGTTTACTTCCCCATATAACAAATTAATTTAGCAAGTTTGTAAGTTAAACAGTAAAAAAAGAAACTCAATGTAGGCAATTAAAAAATCCTCTAAATACTTCGAAGCAAACTGTGCATCGATTTCAACACAATTAACTGTTTGAGAAGACCACAAGTGAAGCTGGAAAGTCGCCATATGGCGCAACATATTTGACCCAACCAAATAATCTAAGAGCATGGGGAATTTGAATCAAATGTCTTGTTTTCATATTGTTTTCAGGACGTTTTCCAGTACACATTAGAGGCAAAGTATTTGGCAAGACAAATGTTTTACAGTTTTTCAAGAGAAAATTTTGCTTTTAATCACACAATTTCATTCGACAAAATGGTTCAATTGAACAATGACACAAGAAAAAGAAGACACATCATGCGGCGACCCGTTCTTTTGTCTCTCGAAGAAGTAAGAAGGAAGATTTTGTAAGTATCATCATCTTTAGTCCTGTAAGTTCGCAAATGATCAACACCAATTTTTATTAGCTTTCGAAGATTTAACAAAAATGGCATTGCTTTGTTTTTATCCAGAATGTCAAACATCACCAATGTATAATTTTGTTTTCTAGCAAATTATCATCAAGGCATAAATAGACATGTTTCAATGAAAAAAATAATTAATTTCTTGACTTATTTCTAAAGTTTGTTTCATACGGTGATCATAGTACTATTGTTTGCTCTCTACCATTTTATACATATATATGAGCCGCGTCACGACAAAACCAACATAGTGCGTTTGCGACCAGCATGGATCCAGACCAGCCTGCGCCTCCGCGCAGTCTGATCAGGATCCATGCTGTTCGCTATCAGTTTCTCTACTTGTTATAGGGTTTGTAAGCGAACAGCATGGATCCTGATCAGACTGCGCGGATGCGCAGACTGGTCTGGATCCATGCTGGTCGCAAACCCATTATGTTGGTTTTGTCATGGAACGTCTCATATATACATGTATTAGCTTAAGAGACGTAAAGTGATTGTGTTTTATACTATCAGTCTTAAAAATTTAGGTAATGAAACGGAATGAAGAAAACTGATCTTTTTATCGGGAAAAGGCTATTTTTGCTCTTTCCCACTGAATTTAAATGTTTATAACAGCAAACTTTGCTTTACATGTTTTTTTTTTATAATTTGTTGTTTTAAAATAAAAAGTAAACGGCTCAGCTTGGAGAAAATACGGCGGCCGCTATGAACAAACGATCAACACAAATGGTCAAAAATGATTGCTTTATCTATCTGTTTTTAGCATTTTTTTAAATAAAGTTGTACTTTGTTTTAAATAGTCCGCTGTCACTATCAGCCGTCACCTTGATAAAGACACCGTTACCAGAATCATGGATGCCATGGGATTTAGTTCAGCCTTTTGAACTAGTCAATATAACCGGTTCAAACGAGGAGGTGGAAATTAAAAGACTTTTCTTCGAAACGATTGACAGAAGTAAAGAACAAATAGACAGTATTTGCCGAGTACAAAATCATAAATTGTGGGAATTATTCTGCAGGTAAGATAGATTTTAACACGTCATATAACATCAAATATATCGTTAAAAACTAAAGATCGTCAAGAAAATTTCTAGTTCTTTTGTAGTTCATTATATTTCCCATTAACTCTTTTTGTTTAGAATAGATAAAATATTTGAATAAAGTTTTGAATAATTACATGTTCATAGTGAATTATCTTTGCAATAAATCAACGGGACTTGTTGCGTTCATATTTTTATTGCTGTGCACTAGAAATTAGGATGTGCATCTGTTATAAATATACGAAAATGCCATAAAATGAATATTGTTACATTAAAAAAAATTCACATTAATCCAAATAAAATTATCAGTATATCTAATTGATCTGAATTGTTAAAGGATGGAATAAAACAAAGTTTCTGCTTATTTCCCGGTGACAAGAACTCTATTTCATTTCAGTGAAGAGAGCACTATGAAGGATAAGGCAAGAAGATTAAGATATAAACACAACAGTGTTAACAAGAAGTTCTTATTTCATGGGACAGACAATATAGACGCTGTGCGTGGAATTTGCGTAAACAATTTCGATAAACGCGTGTCAGGAAAGTTTGGCACAAGTTACGGTGATGGGGCATACTTTGCAAGGGACGCTAAATACAGTCATTGTTACACTCAAGGTCCAGTGAGGTACATGTTTGTTGTCAATGTTTTACTTGGACAATCTGCTAAGGGAGATAAATCTTACAGAAGACCGCCTGAGATACCAGGAAGAATTTACGAGCTGTATGATTCTTGTGTTAATGACATTGAAGATCCGACTATATTTGTTTTGTTTGACAAGAATCTTTACTACCCTCAATACCTGATACAGTATCATGACAGAGAAACCATCAGTCAAGAAACAGTTTCTCAATCAACATCATATTCCAGCTTCTAGCTGATTTCGAAGGCATTTGTGTCAGAATGAATTTAAATACATAATACATAAAACGTAGAGAAATGTAAAACAAGCAAGATTGAATGCTTAATGAACCTTTAATACTGGTTTTGTAAGACTGTATATGTTCGAAGGATTTGATCTTTTGAAGTCAAGTATAATAATATTTTATTGCATATATCATACAAAAGAATTTCTCCTTAAGACCACCTCAGAATTAAGACCACCCCGCTATTGAGACCAGTTTTTAAAAGAACGGAATTTACTGTTCTTAATGCCAATAGTTACATGATCCAGAATATTTTGCAACATTATCGTGGATCCTTCCTTGAATCAATCATTTGAATATTAATGAAACACGGCGTGGCTTGATAAGAAGATTTTTAAAAGCTTATTTCTTCAGTTTTGCTAAAAAATGTTTCTTGCAGTATGTTACATCATGTTTGAAAGTATAATTGCATAAATGAGCCGCGCCATGACAAAACCAACATAATGTGTTTGCGACCAGCACGGATCCAGACCAGCCTGCGCATCCGCGCAGTTTGATCAGGATCCATGCTGTTCGCCATCAGTTTCTCTACATGTTATAGGGTTTGTAAGCGAACAGCATGGATCCTGATCAGACTGCGCGGATGCGCAGGCTGGTCTGGATCCATGCTGATCGCAAACGCAGTACGTTGGTTTTGTCATGCCACGACTCAAATATACTCCTTGTTGTTTTTGTTTTGTTTTTTGTTTGTTTTTTTGTTGATTTTTTGAAGATTTAATCATTCTGTACTTAACTATCATATAATCAAGTTCTATGTACTATAATGACAGTATCATATGATGAAGTTTTAAGGTTTCAAAATATATCATAACATTTGATGTTTTCAGTTTTCACACGTATATAATTTATCGTATGTTTGTCCATATCGCAAATACAGCCAAGTAATGTGTCTCATTTGTTATATAGACATAGGAAAATACTCTATATAAATCAAAGGGCTGCAAGCTCTGTGGTATTTTCTGATCTTTGCAATCTTAATCGTACTGTATATCTGTATGTGTTTTCCTGTATAAGTTTATTTTTATGTACTATAATTCATCTTGCAGGGCACCAGAGTTTGATACATACGGAATTTTGCATAACTAGAGTTGCATCAAAAAATCATTTATGTTCATTTTTTATGATAGCCACACTTTATCCTTGCATATTGTGGCTATTTCCTTAACAAAGACACTAAAAAAAGAATTTAAAAAATGTTGACTCGAATGGGATTTGAACTACAGACCTCTCATACACCAAACGAGCGCGTTATCCCTGCACCACGGAGAAGTTTTAAAATCAAAGGCTGAATAAAATCAAGTCATTCTAAATTTAGAACTTCCATTGCATTTCGGGTTTGAAATCCTTATTAATTTCGAGGTATTTTGTTCAGGATAAACCTGTTGTTTAAAATTGAAGTAAATAATTAAGCGAAAATCTTCTCGCCCAAACAGTCCGACATGTAGAATCTATATATTCCACTACTCGGTTTGTGTAGTATTCGGTAATCGACATCGCTAAAAATAGTATTTTCATTGATAAAATCATATTCATCCGCGTAATTTGTGATTGTGCATTTATTGACAATTCTATAAGCCAACGCTATTTTTAAACTTTGAATGCGTTGTAATTTGTTGGATACTTGTAACAAAATAAAAATATTTCTTTCTTTTAAATCGCTAGTTTTAAGCTGTTTTGAGAACTACTTGTTGTTAGGTTTGTCGTAAACTTCTGTGTCAGAGATTGAATGTCCGTTTTGTATTTACTTATTTTCGATCAGAAAATACAATAAAACAATATTAGAAATCTTCGACCATTATTCCCTGCGGTCTGGAGACCGCAGGGTATTAGTACGCGTTTTACTTTTGAGGCATGGGGGAGCACGTGACCTGTTTTCGGTACATGGAGGAGCATGTGATCAGTAAACCGTACATGATTGGTTAATTGACCTTTTCGAAAACCTAGCTAAATACCGTTTGCCGGTACGTTACGGATTTACCTCTAAGGAATTAGTCCGAATCACACCTAATTAAGAACAAAAAACTATTACGTGATATTTCTAATTTTCTATAATTATTTTACGGTTTAAGGTGGAAAAACTTGAATGATGTGTTTGAAAATTATCAATGTTTCTATAAAATCTATCTCAAATTTGACAAACAATAAATTGTTTATACTGAAACCTACAAAATTAAAATATTCGTAGTGGCATCTGCCATAATAAATAGTATTTTCTGCGTAAACTTGTGTGTTAACTTTATTCTTTGTTTGCTCGGAATTATTCATAAAATGGTAGGCCTATTTAATCATTTTATTAAAAAGAAATAATTGTTTTATGTTCGACCTTCTCCGGTCTTCAAAGGTCACCAGTTTCCAAAGACCTTCTTCTATATTGGTCGATTATTGTCAACTATATTCCTAATACAAACGTTTATTTATCCACCCCCCACAAACAATTTTGAAAATAGTTCAATGAAATATCAAAATATATCATTAAAAATGTTCCCCGCAGGAAACCATTTTACTTGTTCTTTTAAATTGATTGATTACAAAGCCGTAAGCACATTGGCAATAGACATGTGTTTTAATGTTTCAATTTGTAGGTAAGAAGATCCTTCTAGAACCGTTAACGAAGCAGTGAGGGAATTATTATACTTCAGCCGAATATCATCATGTCTCAGCTTCATTAAGCGGTGCTAAATAATATTCAGCTGAAGTTACACATTCCGATGGACCGAGAAAATATAATATTACTTGGCGACTTTATTTTTCTCGCGCTGCTAGGCAGTTAACGTTTTTCTGCCTTGAGCTTTTTTTTGATAATCTTTTCCTGGATAAGAAAATTTGCAATTTTTTCACAAAAAGATAATAATAACAAACTTGTGTAATATTGTTTCGAATAACTGACAACTCTCATAGGACCGCGTAATCCGATTTTAAATTTTTTAGAATGAAAGGAATTTTTTTCTTCTAAATGTCCTTTTTAATGAGCATTAAACAATATATTAATTATTTCAATTATTCTTACCAGCTATTCGAATATATATTTCTATTCGAGAAATTTTTCAAATTCATCAGAATGCTAAACAAGTTAAATTATGTTTGAGATCAGGGCGGCTAATTCATATTGCAGCATATTGAAGTATGTATACTAGGGAAGTCCAGGGCCATGCTCACCGGAAAATAAAGTTTATTAGTTTATTGACTGATTTTGTAAGAGAATTTTGACCTCATTTGTTGTCATTATCTACATGTAGTACTTTTAACTGGTTGGGGCTTGATTGTAGAATCATTATGTGTGATTTGTTTGTATGGTAACATTGTCAACAGTTGTCCTCATAAATTCTGGTCAAGAGGCCTGCAATTGTTGTACTAAGGTTAACTCATTAATTGATGACCACCATAAATTTTTGAAGAATCAGTTCTGGGATAAAAACTGAATTACGTTTTCTTTTAATTTGTGATTCCAACTTAAAACACTTAAATAAACGATTTCAAGTTTGAAAATTCACGATTAGAATGAATTCAACTCTACCAATTCACAAATCCGTCTTCACTGTTTACTCTTGATTGTAGTTGAAAACGTTTATTCGTGAAGTTGAAATCTTAAAAACGTGTGTTCGTGCTTTCATGAAGTTGAAGTCTAAGACGTCAACAACTTTAAAAGTTGAAATCCTGAATTCATGGAGTTCAAATCCTAAATACGCGATCATGAAATTGAACTTGTAAGCTTTTAAAGTAGAAACCGTGCATTCGTGATCCTTAAATGTTATCACATCTATTAAATAAAAAAAACAAAATTTGTAACGATTTTAGCAAAACATATCTGTGTTATGGTGGCTTTTGAAGATGCAGTCTTATTCCACCAATAAAATCTGAAATGTATCAATGATTCTTTCTATTAGTCAGTTGGCACTGTAAATAGGACACATTTTTAATCGATTTGGTTTATGATAATAGTGTATTTCAATTCAGTATAAAAAAGAACGGTCTTCCTTAAGAACGCACACAATATTGAAAATGTTTCAGTTTCGGTTTGATCAAACCTATTCATTGAAATTAATCCTTATTATTTACCGATTTCTTTGTATTTCTTTTTATAATAAGTTACAGTTTTCATATTTTTCTGTTTTAACCTAGAATTAGTCTTGGGACTATATTCTATGAAATAAGGATATTAGTAAAAAACAAAGATGTTTAAAATGTTAATATTAAAACAAAAGCAACGGTACATTTCTAATTTCCTCATTTTAAGTCAAATGACGCCAAAAATGATTTATTCATAAAAGGTTATATACCGCACTACAATAAAATTATAAAGTTATAATCAGCAATCGTATTATCATAGGAAATTACAGGAAATTACTTTTTGATTTTATTCAATAATACTGCAAGTTTCTGATAAAAATCTTCTTCTTCTTTATTTTGCTGGAGAACTGATTTTGTTGATTTTTTGCAAGAATGTGGATTGATCTTACATCTAAATGAACTTTGAACCATTATCCTATTTACGAGTATAACACAATTGTGGTCCATACCAACCTTATACCTACATATTGAATGTTTTCTCTCAGATTGATCGACTGCCGGATAGATAATTTGGTTGGTTAGTTGTTTGTTTGTTTGTTTGATCGATCGATTGATTGATTGATTGATTAGTTGATTGTTTGTCCGGATTTTAACAAAATGTCTGACTAGTATAAATGACATGTTTAGTCATGCAAAGTCACATTGGTCAGGGTTATAAAGCAACACGCTTATGAAAACTTCATTTACATGTAACATATCAAAGGCTTTATTAACGATTTTTTATGTTAGAATAATAAAAAAAAGATAAATAAAATTGATGCAGCCGCATATATACCGGTACCGTTGGCCTAGTGGTTAAGGCGTCCGCCTTCGGATCGGGAGGTCGAAGGTTCGTGCCCCACGGGGAGCTTTTATTGAAGGATGAATGTTTCTTTTGGGACTTGTTCCGAAATGGCCGCTACATGAGCCACAAGGTAGTTAAAATGAATGGTTACCGATTTCTATCCGCCTGGCGCCTGGCATACTGGTAGTTGGGATGTACATGGTATGGAAGCAAAAGGTGTCTCATAAGTCAGAAATGACTGGCTCTTTCGTAGGGATGACACTATAATAAACAAGACCTTTACCTGTACCTTTTATGTAAATACAAGTACTATAGTCGTCAAGATTTGCCCAATACAATTCGACATCAGAAACGTGTACTATAATAAATATAATGCAATTTATAAGGTGTTTTCTTTTAAGCGACATGTTTTTGGACTGAGGATTGTCTGTTTGTCTTTTTCATTGTCCAGTATCTAATCAAGTATCAAAACGCTTCATTTCGCATAAGTGATTTTAATTCAATTTTCGTTTGGGTCCAAAACATCTGGTATTGGCCCTGTGTAAAATTGTATATGTGAACTACAGACTAAATAAAAATGCTAATGTATTAAATAATAATTCATAATTATAATAACAAAACCTTTAAACAATAACACGGGCATATAAGTTTATTTTTACTATACAATTTTCAAGGCAATGCTATTAATTGCTTTTTATCCCGGACCAGTTAACCAAAGATAATTCTCTAAAAGGATAAAAACAGATTAAAGGTTTGCGTGCCGAAAAAAAAATCTCAACAGAAATAAAATAACTGTGA